TCATCAATTGAGCTCTGTTTTCTCTTTCCCCATTGGGTGTGTGTGAACCGAGTGACAACGAGCCATGACAAGGACATCTGCCTACACCACTCATATACCCCTCCAACCCAACTTCTCTTCCCAGTGCAAGAAGCTCAGAACCTGGAACATGATTATTCTTTGAACAGGCTCCCTGTTGGGCTTGACCGATTGGTTGGACTAGCTGGACGCATGATGCAATGGAGCAGTGATGATAGAAAAGATGCTAATGGTGGTGGTTCCAAGTGATCAGGCAGAGGGATCTTGCCCCATGGTGCCCCACATTTATGCAAGCAGCCCTTTAGCTCTTGCCCACTGGAGCGCACTTAAGTCTCATGCCTAACCCTAACCTTCGCCCTAATCCTTAGGCATGCCACTGAACTTTCGTTAACCAAGGAAAAAGAGGAAGACACAGCCGTCGAGAATTGCCCCGGGGCGAGGCAGTTCAGTCCATCCTTGCCAGCTCCGCCACTTGAGGCACAGGCAATGGCACAGAGAGGCTGCACGAGGTTATGAGATGCCTACCCAGATCTCGGTTCTCCGCTATGGCCCACACTGCACTGCCTGCCTGCATGCCTGAATGTGGCCGGAGGGAGAATGGCGCACTGAGCTCTGTGGAGTCTGCACAGGGCTCCTGGCACCCAGAGTGGTACTTATGCATTCAGACTTCATGGGAGCAGCTTAATTTTGTTTACTTCAAAGCAGGCTACATGATAAATGGTCAGACTGAATACTAGCATTGTCTTTCAGTCAATTTGCTTTCAAAAACCACCCATTATAATCATGGTATTACTTTTGTACTATCCTTTATTTAATCTAAGCAGTGAAAAAACATTGCATTGGATCTCATGGACTTGATCCTTATCTTAAATCAGTTACTTTGTTCATTGATTTCAATGCCCATCAAACAGAACTCTCTAGTGATACATGAGCATGTTAGGGTAACTAATTACATGCTAGTTCAATTTAAATTACTTCCACTTAATCACTGTGACTATTAATTTCTTGGTCAAGAAAGAAATATGAAGTGGTGCTCCAAATGTTCCATACAGATCAAAGGAATAAATCAGAAAATGCAACCAAATGAGATTTAATATGCTTGAGAAACAAAAGTTGAAAGGAGACAAACATGATTTACACCTTTTGTGGTACAGAGAAATCGTGATATTAGTGCATCTAAGGGAAAAATTATTATTGAATGTGCAGCACTTTTTCATATTGGATCAAACATCATTGGAATTGTTCACAAGTTGTGCAATGCATCTAAATTAAATATAATTTTCTAAGTAGGTCGAGGTCATTAGGATATTTAAAAAACACACCAACAGACCTTGAGGGCAGAAGAGGAAAGTCATAGAAGCATCTTTGGAAGGTTAAAGTTTGGAGTTAACGCTAGTCCAGTGTGTTACGAGAAACAGAAAGCAGTGAAGTCTATTACACATCCTTCACATCCTAAATTCAAGAATAGTTACCTGAACAGATATTTACAAGGATTTCTTTTAAAATAATTGTATAAAAGTATCATTTTGCTATATCTATGCCACCACAAAGGATTTATTTGATGAGAAATTTACCGTATCCAAGAAATCATAAAAAGGGATATTAGCACAGTGACCAGATCAAGTAAAACACCTCCAGAATGAATGCAAAGTATGGATCCAGCGTTGCTTTACCATCACTGACCACTGCATTTTCCTAAACGGAGGCTATAGCCATTATTACATATCTGCATTCTAACCTCCTATGGCTCATAGGAACAAGTATGTAGGCTTTTGCACAAAATAAATTTAAAAATGCATACTTTAAGCACTGATCCAACCGGGGGAAGGGGTAAAGGAGACAAGTCCACCAACCCCTGTTCAAAGCTTATATGCTTTTCTCTTACAGAAATGGGCCCAGACATGCTACTTTCTCTGCTACAGAGTTAAGCTTACTTAATCATGAGATCTGATTCTCCTGCATTTTGTGGCCAACAGCTTTAAAACTACCAGAATGACTTGACTTCAGCTACATCTACATAACAGAACTTTGTTTTAAGCTGTGGTGATTTCCCTGATGGAAAACGAAGCTATGCGAGGACATGGGGAACTCTTAGTAAGAAACTGCTACCATTCTCACCCACTACTCTAGGCTCCAAGGTAGCTTACAGAGCCCATGCCTATGAACAGCTCACTGTTGCAGTGTAGGCAGAGAATTCGATGTGCTCACCTCCAGCAGGTCTAAAATGAAATCATTTTGGGGGGAAAAGCTTCTCTTCGTTCTTCCAGGTCAATGAAGGAATGCTAGGATAAGCAACCTCTGGAAGCTCAGATGCTCACTGAACATGTTCAAACGTTGTGCGAGGGGCTCATGGGCCACTGAGGAAGGGTCCCATCTCCACTGCCCATGAGGCCGGCGTATGCATCTCACCCTCATGTGAAAAGAGGCTTATACACACCAGATGCGCATTTAAACTTCTCCATCTAGGAGCATTCCTGACTGGTGGACATGCCCTTCACATGAAGAACCTCTATGTGTAACTGTTGCTTAGGGCCATTTCTCACATGCAGCAGCTCTGAAGATGGGGGGCATGGCCACCAGGGGGCAGACATTGGACCGCTGAGTCCTGCAAGCCTTCCCCTGACATGGGAGGCATCTGTCTGAATGCACCTCATGTTTAAATGATTTGAGAACTATAGGTTGAATC